AAAATGGGGAATCAATAGCGAAGATCAACATATAACCCCCACCCCAAGGGGAATGAATAACAGAAATGTGGGTGAAGGGAGACAGTGGATGGTCTAAGATATGAAAATAATAATATATAATTTATCAAGGGATCATAAGGGTGGGAGAGTGGGGAAGGTGGGAGAGTGAAAAAAGAGGAGCTGATATCAAGGACTCAAGTAGAAAAAGTGTTTTGAAAAGAATGATGGCAACATATGTACAAATGTGCTTGATACAATTGATGTATGGATTGTTATAAGAGCTGTAAGAGTCCCCAATAAAATCATTTTTAAAATATATGGTGTTGGCAAAGAATATATAATGTGGCCAAAAGTAGGAACAAATCTTAGAAGCAGTACAGCCAGAATGCCCCATAGAAGCAAGGATGGTAAGACTTCATCTCACGTGCATTGGGCGTAACAGGAGTGGCAGGTCCTGGGAAGGGACATCATGGTTGGTAAAGTAGAAAGTTAGAGACCAAGAGGGAAGACCCCAACAAGGATTGACACAAGGGTGCAATAATGTACTCAAACATAGCAATGACAGGGAGAATGGTTCAGGACTGGGCAGTATTTCATTGTGTATGGGACTGATAAGAGTTGGAACTCTGACAACATTCCTTCTCTGCACAAACTACTGTCTAAGGTAGATTCAACACCTAGATCTTCTTCAGGGCCCTGTAAGCTCCTGTGTGACCATAAAGTGATACGATGGCTAAGCATATAGCTAACCACAGGTTGGAATGTTTAAACCTACCCAGCACTTCCAGGGAGAAATAACTGGTATCAGCTCTTATAAAGATTAACAACGGAGGAGAAAACAATGGGACCGACAGTTGGGGGGAGTGGGGGTGAACACAGGAGAGGGGGAAGTGGGAGGAAAGGAAGTGGTGTTAACAAACCCAGAGACAAGGGAACAACAAGTGATCCAAATCCGTGGTGAGGAGGGTGTAGGAGGCCTGGTAGGGCATGATCAAGGGTAATGTAACTGAGAGGAATTACTGTAACCCAGATGAAGGCAGAGCATGATAGTAGGACAAAAGGAAAGTCAAAGGAAATAGAGGAAAGAGATAGGAGGCAAAGGGCATTTATAGAGGTCTAAATAAAGGCATGTACATATGTAAATATATTTATATATGACGATGTGGAAATAGATTTATGTGCATATATTCATAAGTTTAGTATTAAGGTAGCAGATGGACATTGGGCCTCCACTCAAGTACTCAAGTACTCCCTCAATGGAAGAACACTCTGCTCTATTAAACTGGCATTCCATGATGCTAACCTTCCCGACACAATCGCTGAAGACAAAGCAGGTGAATAAACAAATATGGTGAAGAAAACTGATGGAGTCTGACTATCAAAAGATTTATCATCTGGAGTCATAAAGGCTTGAAGATAAACAAGTGGTCATCTAACTCAGAAGCAACAAAGCCACATGGAAGAAGCACACCAGCCTGTGTGATTACGAGGTGCCGAAGGAATCAGTTATCAGGCATCAAAGAACAAAAAATCATATCATTGTGTACTCACCTTCCTGATATGATCACTGAAGACAAATGGGTTCATAAGAAAATGTGGTGAAGAAAGCTGATGGTGCCTGGCTATCAAAAGATACAGCATCTGGGGTCTTAAAGGCTTGAAGGTAAACAAGTGTCCATCTAGCTCGAAAGCAACATAACCCCCATGGAAGAAGCACACCAGCCTGTGTGATCACGAGGTGCCGAAGGGATCAGTTATCAGGCATCAAAGAACAAAAAATCAAATCAGTGTAAATTAGAGGGAGTGCAGAGTGGGGACCCAAATTCCATCTGTAGGCAACTGGACATCTTCTTACAGAAGTGTCATGGGGAGGAGACGAGCCAGTCAGTGTGCAGTGTAGCAACGATGAAACATACAAGTTTCCTCTAGTTCCTAAATACTTCCTCCCTACCCACTATAATGATCCCAATTCTACCTTACAAATCTGGCTAGACCAGAGGATGTTCACTGGTACAGATAGGAACTGGAAACACTGGGAATCCAGGATGGATGATCCCTTCAGGACCAGTATTGAGTGGCAATACTGGGAGGCTTCTGAGCTAGATGGCTGCTTGTTTACCTTCAAGCCTTTAAGACCCAGACGCTGTATCTTTTGATAGCCGGGCACCGCTCTCCACCGGGAGGGTGGAGGGAGGGTGGGGTGGAAAGAGGGAATGGATTATAAGGATCTACATATAACCTCCTCCCTGGGGGATGGAGAACAGAAAAGTGGGTGAAGGGAGACATCGGACAGTGTAAGACATGACAAAATAATAATTTATAGATTATCAAGGGTTCATAAGGGGGAGGGGAGGGAGGAGGGAATATGAGGAGCTGATGCCAGGAGCTTACGTGGAGAGCAAATATTTTGAGAATGATGAGGGTAACAAATGTGTTTTATACAATTGATGTATGTATGGATTGTGATAAGAGTTGTATGAGCCCTCAATAAAATGATTAAAAAAAGATTAACGGCATAGAAACCCCTATGGGCGTTCTTTTCTGTCACATGGGGTCTCTACATGTCCAAATCAATTCGGTGTTGCCTAGCAACAGTAGAGAAAATTATAACCAAAGGCCAAGGAAGTGGAGACAAAAAATACCTTTATTTTCATTAGAAATAATATTTATAAAATATACAGTGGTTTAACCCTGTCTTTGTCCATTTTGGCGGTCGCTAGGTTATAAAGAAGTGGTGACAGTAACAGCAGTACATAACAGTAGGTGCTAAGAAGTCAATTATTGGCTTAGGAAAGATACAACCTTCTACATGTGCTTTCCATGAGGAAAAACTATTTCTTGGCCCTCAGTGTGAGAGCCATGCTCTGACCTGGCCCAGAAACACTTCTCAGACCACTAGCCACCCATTTTCTATGCTGGAAACAGGCACACCTTGGTTTCTTATTAGAACTTATGGATCCTGTAACTTCTCCTTCAAAGCAAAGTCTATAGTGAGAGTTCTGGAGTCATGGGCAGAGCTATGTTATTCTTGATGCGATTCCAGAACATAATTCGTATGATCCAGTTGTCAAATGGCTCATAGATTTCCCTAAAAACTCAAGGGCGCTGTAGAAAGTACAAATTAGTCTCAAGAATTGGCCTTTCGGATGTTCTACAGACTTATACTTCTCTTCTTTCCTATGATGTGAATGTCTCTTGTGTGTGAACTTCTTGGTGGTGGGAGAGGGCAGTTAATATGAGAGCACTTAATATGAAGACAGCCTGAGCCTGGTGTGAGTTCTCTGGTGGGCACTAAGGTGGGGGCTATTGCTGAAGCTTTTCCCACACTCCACACATTTGTGTGGGTTGCCCCTAGTGTGACTTCACCAGTGAGCACTGAACTGCGATTGTTGTAGACCCTCTTTTCACACACAGTACACTCAGAAGGCTTTCCCCCAGGGATGGGTCATCTGGTGGACTAGGAGGCTAGACCCCTAGTTGAAGCTTTTCCCACACACCCACACTGGTCAGGTCTCTCCCCTGGGTGACTTCTCAGGTGGGCGGTGAGGTTGGAGCGTTCACTAAAGCCTTTTCAGCATTCAATGCACGTGTGAGGCTTCTCTTCGCTGTGGATTCTCTGGTGGTGAACTAGACAAGAACCTCAGCTAAAGCCTTTTCCATGTCCACGACGTTCGGAGGCGATGTTCAGTCTGGGGGTGCTGGCGTACGGGAGAAAGAAGAGCTCTGAGAGCAGCTTTGTCCACACATGAGATGCTTACAGGTTTCTGGCCCAATACAAAGTCTCCGGTGACTCATCTTCTCCTGGGATGGGGGCTTCTCATCACTCTCGCTCTTCCAGGCTTTGCTGCTGTTGTTCAGTTCTGTAAGCCTTCATGTCCACTTCTGAGTTATCCCATTCTGCTCTTTTCAATCTCGTTCTTCATCTCAAGGCCTGAAAAATATAGAAACACATTGACTGCTCTATAGAAAGGGAAACAAGAAAATGAGAAAAGTTAAAACTAATGTAAAGAAAAAAATACAACCGATTGTAGGACACAAAACGACAACAATAATATATAATTGATGAAGGATTCATGAGGGTGGGAGGGAGGGGAAAGGAGGGGGGGAAAGAGGAGCTGATCCCAAGGGCTCAAGTAGAAAGAAATTGTTTGGGAAATGTTGATGGCAATATATGTACAAGTG